AAAAACAGTCCAGGACCAGAGAGATTCACAGCAGAATTATATCAGAAATTCAACAAAGAATTGGTACCAATCCTTTTGACACTATTCCACAAGACAGAGAAAGAAGGAATCCTCCTAATTCATTTTATGAAGCCAACATCACCCTAATACTAAAACCAGGAAAGGACATAAAACAAAAAAGAAAACTATAGACCCGTTATCTTTGATGAACACTTATGCTAAAATCCTTAACAAAATATTAGCTAATCAAATTCAACAAGATGTCAAAAAGATAATCTACCATAATCAACCGGGTTTCATACCAGGAATGCAGGGATGGTTTAATATATGCATGTCAATAAATGACATACATCACATATATAGAATTAAAAACAAAAGTCACATGATCTTCTCCATAGATGTGGAAAAAGCATTTGATAAAATCCAGTATCACTTTATGACTAAAACTCTCAGCAAAATCAGCATACATGGGGCACACCTTAACGTAATAAAGACCATCTATGACAAGCCCACAGCCAATATAATACTGAATGGGGCAAAGCTGAAAGCATTCTCTCTGAGAACTGGAATAAGACAAGGATGCCCACTCTCACTACTCCTCTTCAACAGAGTACTGGAAGTCCTAGCCAGAGCAATCAGACAAGAGAAAGAAATAAGGGTGCCGGGCGCGGTGGCTCAAGCCTGTAATCCCAGCACTTTGGGAGGCCGAGGCGGGTGGATCACAAGGTCAAGAGATCAAGACCATCCTGGTCAACATGGTGAAACCCCGTCTCTACTAAAAATACAAAAAATTAGCTGGGCATGGTGGCGCGTGCCTGTAGTCCCAGCTACTCAGGAGGCTGAGGCAGGAGAATTGCCTGAACCCAGGAGGCAGAGGTTGCGGTGAGCCGAGATCGCGCCATTGCACTCCAGCCTGGGTAACAAGGGAGAAACTCCGTCTCAAAAAAAAAAAAAAAAAAAGAAATAAGGGTATCCAAATCAGTAAAGAGGAGATAAGACTGTCACTGTTTGCTGACCATATGATCATTTACTTCAAAAACTCTAAGGACTGCTCCAGAAAGTTTCTAGAACTGATAAAAGAATTCAGCAAAGTTTCCGGATACAAGGTTAATGTATGCAAATCAGTAGCTCTTCTATACCCCAACAGCAACCAAGTGGAGAATCAAATCAAGAATTCAACTCCTTTTACAATAGCTGCAAAAAAAAAAAAAAAAAAAAAAAACCCAAAGAAAAACAACAACAACTTAGCAATATACCTAACCAAGGAGTCAAAAGACCTCTACAAGGAAAATTACAAAACTCTGCTGAAAGAAATCACAGACGGCACAAACAAGTGGAAACACATCCCATGCTCATGGATGGGTAGAATCGATATTGTGAAAATGACCATATTGCCAAAAGTAATCTACAAATTCAATGCAGTCCCCATCAAAATACCACCATAATTCTTCACAGAGTTAGAAAAAAAAAATCTAAAATTCATATGGAACCATAAAGAGCCCACATGGCCAAAGCAAGACTAAGCAAAAAGAACACATCTGGAGGCATCACGCTACCTGATTTCAAACTATACTATCAGGCCAGAGTCACCAAAACAGCATGGTACTGGTAAAATGACAGGCACACAGATCAATGGAACAGAATAAAGAACCCAGAAATAAACCCAAATACTTACAGCCAACTGATCTTCGACAAAGCAAATAACATAAAGTGGAGAAAGGACACCCTTTTCAACAAATGGTGCTGAAATAATTGGCTAGCCACATGTAGGAGAATGAAAATGGATCCTCATCTCTCATTTTATACAAAAACCAACTTGATGGATTGAGGACTTAAACCTGAACCCTGAAACTACAAATATTCTAGAAGATAGCATTGGAAAAACCCTTCTAGACATTGGCTTAGGCAAGGATTTCATGACCAAGAATCCAAAAGCAAATGCATTAAAAACAAATAGCTGGGACCTAATTAAACTAAAGAGCTTCTGCATAGTAATAGGAACACCCCACAGAATAAACAGCCCACAGAGTGGAAGAAAATCTTCACAATCTATACTTCCAACAAAGGACGAATATCCAGAATCTACAATGAACTCAAATCAGTAAGAAAAAAACAAACAATCCCATCAAAAAGTAGGTTAAGGATATGAATAGACAATTCTCAAAAGAACATATACATATGGCCAACAAGCATATGAAAAAATGCTCAACATCACTAAAGATCAGGGAAATGCAAATCAAAACCACGATGAGATACCACCTCACTCCTGCAAGACTACAATAGAAAAATCAAAAAAACAGTAAGATGTTGGCGTGGATGTGGTAAACTTCTACACTGCTGGTGGGAATGTAAACTAGTACAGCCATTATGGAAAACAGTGCGGAGATTCCTTAAAGAACTAAAAGTAGAAGTACCACTAGATCCAGCAATCCCACTACTGGATATCTATCCAGCAGAAAAGAAGTCATTATGCAAAAAAGATACTTGCACATGCATGTTTATAGCGGCACAATTCACACAGCAAAATCATGAAACCAACCCAAATGCCCATCAATCAACAAGTGGATAAAGAAACTAATACACACACACACACACACACACACACACACACACGATGGAATGCTACACAGTCGTAAAAAGGAATGAACTAACAGCATTTGCAGTGACCTGGATGCGACTGGAGGCTATTACTCTAAGTGAAGTAACTCAGGAACAGAAAACCAAACATCATATGTTCTCACTGATATGTGGGAGCTAAGCTATGAGGATGCAAAGACATAAGAATGACATGATGGAGTTTAGGGACTTGGGTAAGAGTGGGAGGGGGACGAGGGATAAAAGACTACAAATATGGAGCAGTGTATACTGCTTGGGTGATGGGTGCACTAAAATCTAACAAATCGCCACTAAAGAACTTACTCATGTAATCAAATACCACCTGTACCTCAATAACATGGAAAAATAAAAAATAAAACGTTTTATTCTAAAGTTAAAATTTGAAAGAAAGAGGAAAAAAACTGGTTTCAGTGCTACTCAAAGGCAAATAAAGGTTAAGACTCATGAACGAGTTTAATGTACAAGGCAACCTCAAAGAACAAAGCTGGTGAAATAAACTACCAGATATCACCGTTGGAGCTGACATTTGCTCCAGTTTTAATTACTGCGGTAAGTAAATAAGATAATGTGTTACTGCTTCAAGGTCAGACCAAAAAAAGAAGAAAAGAGATACCAGAAATAGACCCACACAAATGCAATCATCTGAAAACAAAAGCCTCCAGCAGAGGAAGGATAGCCTTTTTTTCTCCCAGCTTTACTCAAGTATAATTGACAAAATTGTATTTAATTGTAAGGTGTACAATGTGGTTTCAATTTATATATATGCTATGAAAGGATTGCCACAATCAATCAGGCTAATTAGCAGATCCATTACTTCACAGTTACCATTTTTATTTGCATGTGTGGGTGAGAATACTTAAGATCTACTCTCTTAGCACATTTCGAGTATATAATAAATTACATAGTTACTAAACTATAGTTAGCATGCTGTACATTATATCTCCAGAACTTACCCATCAACTGCAAGTTTGTATCCTTAGATCACAATCTTCCACCCCCAACTTCTCAACATATGGTTTGGATGTTTGTCTCCTCCAAATCTCATGCTGAAATGTGATTCCCAATGTTGGAGATGGAGCCAGGAGAGAGGTGATTGCATCATGGGGGCAGATCCCTCACGAATGGTTTAGGACCATCCACTTGGTGATGAGTTCCCACCCAGTTCACAAGAGATCTGGTTGTTTAAAAGACTCCAGGTCCTTCCCCTTCTCTCTTGCTCCCCCTTTACCTTCCATCATGATTGGAAGCTTCCTGAGGGCCTTACCAGTTTGTGCCATGCTTCCTTTACTGCCTGCAGAACTGTGAGTCAAGCAAAACTCTTTTCTTTATAAATTACCCAGTTTCATGTATTTATTTATAGCAACATAAGAATGGACTAACATAAGAAAATTGGTACCGATGAGTGAGTAGTGCTATAAACATTCCTGAATACATGGAAGCAGCTCTGGAACTGGGTAACAAGCAGAGGTTGGAAAAGCTGAGGGCTCAGAAGACAGGAATGTGAAGGAAAGTTTGGAACCTCTTACAGACTAAATAGTTGTGACAAAAATGCTGATAGAAATATGGACAGTGAAGTCCAGGCTGACAAAGTTTCAGATGGAAATGAGGAAGTGATTGGGAACTGAAGTAAAGGTCACCCATGTTACGCCCTAGCACAGAGCTTGGTGGCATTGCATTCATATCGTATCCTAGGGACCTGTGGAAGTTTGAACTTAAGAGTGACAAATTAGTGTATCTGGCAGAAGAAATTTCTAAGCAGCAAAGCATTCAAGATATAACCTGGCTGCTTCTAACAGCCTACAATCAGGTATGAAAGAAAAAAAAATGACTTAAAGTTGGAACTTGTATCTAAAAGGAAAGCAGAGCATAAATGTTTAGAAAATTTGCAGGCTGGCCCTGTGGTAAAGAAAGAATACAAGCAGACTGTGGAGCAGCCACTTGCTAGAGAGATTAGCGTGACTAAAGGGGAGCCATGTGCTAACATCCAAGACAATGGGAAAAAGGCCTTAAAGGGCATTTCAGAAGTCTTTGGGACAGCCCCTCCTATCATAGGCCTGGAGAGTGCTAATTTTAAAAGGATAATCTTTTTGTTAAAAACAGAATTAGTAGTCTTATAAAGTTAGGTACCAAAATCATCATACATACTCTTGTGCTGATCAATTACTGAAAAAAACATCAAAGCCTAATAGTTTACCGGCCTGGAGCTTAATCTTGACAAACTACTAAAATGGCCTTCCTCATTATCTCTACATAATAACATTAGATTCCTGACTGAAGCCAGTCTAAGAAAACAATCCTATATTAAATTTTGTCTATTACTTTCATCTCAACATTTAAAGGCTTATCATGATTCTTTGCATTAAGAGAAAGAAAAGTGTTCTTACCCTATTAAAGCCATGTTCATGAGAGTCATCAACTTCTCCATTACTAGTCACTGGAATTTCTGCTGCTGAATTTTTGGGAGATTCTTGAGCCATAGTAGACTCCTAAAACAAAAGAAGAAAAAAACAGCCATAACTAATACCAAATCATAAAGACTATATTGATGTTTATAGTACAAGCCACGGTTTTAACATTTTTTATCATTGCAACCTACCAAATACTTACATAATAAACAGAATACATACATAATTTTAAAATTCCATCTGGCTGATTTATCTTCACTTAACCTTAACTTCTTGATTAAAAATGAGTTACATATTTGTTGTAGGTACCGGAGGCATTCTCATAGCCTCTTAAATAGTGTTATGATAGACCAGCACTTACAACTGGGGAAAAAAAATTACGGAAAGCCAAGCTTGATTGTTAATTCAACTACAGCAGCTCTATTTTTCCAACTGGAGTACTACGAAGACAAATGAGAGCAAAGGGCAGAGTAGAATTAGGTTGGTAACAGATCACTAGCTTAAAAATCCACAAACTTTAGTTGACAAGTGTTATCAAAATAATTCTGCATCTATTAACAGACTTCAAGATTAGCTGGAAAGTTACGGTAATCAAGACAATATGGTATCGGTGAAAAAACAGACAAATAGGTCAGTGGAATAGGAGCCCAGAAATAGGCCCACATTAATGTAGTCAACTGATCTCTGACAAAGTGGAAAGGTAATACAATGGTAAAAAGGTGGTATTTTCCACAGTGGTGCTGGAATAATGGTGCTGGACATCTACATACAAAAAAGGGACCAGACAGAGACCTTACACTTTTCATAAAAATTAACTCAAAATGGATCATAGACCTAAGTGCAAAATGCAAAACCATAAAGCTCATAAAGATAGCACAGGAGAAAACCTAGATGACCATGGATATGGTGATGACTTTTTAGATACAACACCAATGCGATAATCCATGAAAGAAAAATTGATAAGCTGTACTTCATTAAAATTTAAGATTTCTGCTCCACAAAAAACAGCATGAAGAGAATGAGAAGACATGTCACAGACTGGGAGAATATATTTGCAAAGAACACATCTGATAAAGGACTGTTGATCTAAAATATACAAAGAATTCTTAATACTCAACATTAAGAAAACAACCCAATTAAAAATGGGCAAAAGATCAGAATAGATGTTTTGTCAAACAGATGTTTCATCAAAGACAATGTAAAGATGGCTAGTAAGCATATGAAAATATGTTCAATGTCATATGTCATTGGGGAATTGCAAATTAAAACAATAACGAGATACCATTACATACCTATGAGAATGGCCAAATTCTAAAACACTGACAACACCAAATGCTGACAAGGATGTGGAATAACAGGAGCTCTCACTCATTGCTAGAGGGAATGCAAAATGGTACAGCCACTATGGAAGACAGTTTGGCAGTTTCTCGCAAAATCAAACATACTCTTACATATGATTCAGCAATTGTGCTCTCTGGTATTTGCCCAAATGAACTGAAAACTTACCCACAGAAAAATTTACACACAGATGTTTAGAGCAGTCTTATTTAATTATAACAATTTAAAATTGCCAAAACTTGGAAGTAATCAAGACACCCTTCAGTAGGTGAACAGATAAAATGTGGTACAGAGATAAATGGAAGATTATTTAGCACTAGAAATAAGTAAGCTATTAAGTCACAAAAAGACATGGAAGAAATTTAAATGCAGATTGCTAAATGAAAGAACCCAGGCCAAGTGCAGTGGTTCATGCTTGTAATTCCAGCACTTCAGGAGGCTGAGGCAGATCACTTGAGCCCAAGAGTTTACCAGCCTGGGAAACATGGTGAAACCCTGTCTCTACAAACAATGCAAAAATTAGCTGAGTGTGCTGGCGCATCACTGTAGTCCCAACTATTTGAGAGGCTGAAGTGGGAGGATCATTTGAGCCCAGGAAATAGAGGCTGCTATGAGCCAAGATCACACCACTGCACTCCAGCCTGGGCAACAGTGAGACACTGTCTCAAACAAACAAGAAACCCAACTTGATAAATCTTCCATTTATCTATGTACCATATTTTATCTGTTCACCTACTGAAGGGTGTCTACTGTATGATTCCAACTATATGATGTTCTGGAAAGGGTAAAACTATAGAGGCAGTAAAAAGATGAGAAGTTGCTAGAGGCTGGTGGGGAAGGAAGACCAGGCTGAACACAGAGGGTTTTTAGGGCAGAGGAACTATTCCGTATACTACAGTAGTGGATACTTGTCATTACATATTTGTCAAAATCCATAGAATGTACAAGACCGAGAGTTAACCCTAAGGGAAAGTACAAACTTGGGGTGATATGCCAATGCAGGGTCATCAATTGTAACAAATGTATCACTCTACCCAGGAATGTTGACAGTTCTGCATGTGTGGGAATGGTGGTACACAGGAACTTTCTGTGCTTTCCTCTCTATTTTGCTGTGAAAACTGCTCTTGAAAATAAAGTTTAATTAAAAATAGTAATAATGCTGTCTAAATCCTAAATTATGACCTTATGAAAGAATTGTTCCTAGATTTTTAAAAATTATTGTAAAAAATACATAACAAAAATTACCGTCTTTACTTATGTGTATAGGTCAGTAGTGTTAAGTATATTCACACTGTTATGCAATCAATCTCCAGAACTTTTTCATCTTGTAAAATTGAAACGTTATACCCATTAAACTGCCCTCCATTTTCCACCTCTCCACAGCCTCTGCCTACCATTACTCTACTTCTGTTTCTATGAATTTGACTACTCCAGATAAGTGGAATTGTACAGTATTTATGTATTTGTGATTGGCTTATTTCACCTAACATAATGTCTTTAAGGTTCATCCATGTGGTAGCGTTTGTCAAAATTTTCTTCCATTTTAAGGCTAAGTAATATTTTGTTGTATGTATATACCATATATGTGTATCCACTCATCCTTTGATAGATACTTGGGTTGCTTCAAGCATTTAGCTGTTGTGAACAATGCTGCTGCAAACACGGGTGTGCACAATCCTGCAAGATCCTGCTTTCAATTCTTTTGGATATATACCCAGAAGTAGTATTACTAGATCAAACTGTAATTCTATTTTTAATTTTTAAAATAAAATGTTTTATTTCAATAGCTTTAGGGGTACAAGTGGTTTGTGTTTACATGGAGGAGGTGACAGTAGTGAAGTCTAAGGTTTTAGTGCACCCATCACCCAAGTAGTGTACATTGTACCCAACAGGTAGTTTTTTATTGCTCACTCCCCACCACCCTCCCCTCTTGAGTCTCCAATGTCCATTATACCACTCTGTGTGCCTTTGCATATCCACAGCTAAGTCTCCACTTATAAGTGAGAACATGTGGTATCTGGTTTTCAATTCCTGAGTTACTTCACTTAGAATAATGGCCTACAGTTCTATCCAAGTCACTGCAAAGTATTTCATTCTTTTTTTATTAAGTAGTATTCCATGATACAAACCCTATTTTCTTTATCCACTCATTGGTTGATGGGCAATGAGGTTGATTCCATATCTATGCAACTGTAAACTGTACTGCAATAAACATGTGTGCAGTTTTGATATAGTGACTTCTTTGCCTTTGGGTAGAGGCCAGTAGTGGGAATGCTGGGTTAAATGGTAAATCTACTTTTACTTCTTTGAGATCTCCATATACTGTTTTATCACCAGCAATGTATAAACATTCCTTTTTCACCACATCCATGCCAACATCTACTGTTTTTTGACTTTTTAATAATGGCCATTCTGGCTGGGGTGAGGTGGTATCTCATTGTGGTTCTAATTTGCATTTCCCTCAGGATTACTGATGTTGAGCATTTTTTCATGTTTCTTGGCCATTTGTATATATTTTTTTGAGAAATGTCTATTCATGTCATTTGTCCACTTTTTAATGGAATTACTTGTTTTTTTCCTTGCTGATTTGAGTTCCTTGTAGATTCTGGATATTGGCTCTTCATCCAATGTGTAATTTACAAATATTTTTTCCCATTCTGTAGATTGTCTGTTTATTCTGATGATTATTTCTTTTGCTGTGCAGAAACTTTGTTTAGTTAGGTCTCATTTATTTACCTTTGTTTTTGTTGCATTTGCTTTTGCGGTCTTACTCATAAACGATTTGCCTAGGCTGATGTCTAGAAGAATTTTTGCTAAGTTTTCTTCTAGAATGTTTACAGTTTCCGATCTTAGATTTAAGTCTTTAATCATCTTGAGTTAATATTTGTATGTGGTGATAGGCAAGGGTCCAGTTTTGTTCTTCTACATGTGGTTATCTGATTTTCTCATCATCCTTTATTGAATAAGTGTGTCCTTTCCCCACTCTGTTTTTGTATGTGTTGTAAAAGATCCATTGGTTGTATTTGCTTTATTTCTGGGTTCTCTATTCTGTTCTATTATTCTACATATCTACTTTTTTACCAGTACCACACTGTTTTGGTTTACTATAGTCTTATAGTATAGTTTGAAGTTGGGTAATGTGATGCCTCTAGATTTATTCCATTTCCTTAGAGTTACTTTGGCTATTTGGGCTCTTTTAGCTCCATATGAATTTTAGGATTGTTTTTTCTAATTCTGAGAAAAATGATGCTGATATTTTGACAGGAATTTCATTGAATCTTTGGGCAGATTAGTCACTTTCAGGATATGGACTCTTATGGAATGTATTTCCATTTGTTTGTGTCATCTATTTCTTTCAGCAGTGTTTTGTAGTTTTGTAGTTCTCTTTGTGAAGATTTTTTGCCTCCTTGGTTAAGTGTGTGTGTTGTGTGTGGTGTGTGTATATACACACCCTTTGTTTCTTTCTTTTGCCTGATTGCTCTAAGACTTCCAGTACTATAATATGCTGAAGAGAAGCAGTGAAGGTGGGCACCCTTCCCTTGTTCCAGTTCTTAGGGGGAATACTTTCAACTTTTCCTTGTTCAGCATGATGCTGGCTGTTGGGTGTGTCATATATGGCTTTATTTTGAGGTGCGTTCCTTCTATGCCTAATTTGTTGAGGGTTTTTATCATAAAGGGATGCTGAATTTTATTGAATGCTTTTTCTGCATTTATTGAGATGATAGTTTTTGTTTTTAATTCTG